TGGTAGCTGAACATAAAAATAAAAGAAGCATAATGTCTATGAACATCATAAGCAATATTAATTTAGGAATATAAATATATAATACAAACTGTAAATGGCTGGTAGTGGTAGTTTAAATAAAAAATACAGTACACAACAGTATTAATAATAATAATAATTGCTTACACTTATATAGTGCTTTTCTGGACACTCCACTCAAAGCGCTTTACAGGTAATGGGGACTCCCCTCCACCACCACCAATGTGCAGCATCCACCTGGATGATGCGATGGCAACTCACCATACATCAGCTATCAGTGGGGAGGAGAGCAGAGTGGGTTGCCAGTTGTGAGTTGCAGGGTGATATGGCTATTCCACTTTGTTCATAAACATTTTATACATCAAAGTCTTTCACTTGGTTACTTACTGTGGTTATTTTGGAAAAGTTTTGACGTGCTCTTTCTGACTATATTAAGTTTATATACTTTATAAAAAGCTAGAATATTTTAACCTTTTCTATAAATAATTGCTCATGTTATCACAGAAGAAAATTATACTTTTTAGAATCCGCTTAATAGGGAATATAATATATAAAAATTAATAACAATATTAATTTAAGAATCTAAATATAATATATTTATATTGCTCAAAGTATTACCGTAGTCCACTTTCTTTGTAAACATCTAAATCAATTTCTTTGACTCATTCACTTGTGATTACATTGCAAACATTATATCCTGTCTGTTTCAGCTATGTCTCTAAATGATGCTTTGGTGTAGTGGATTAGGTACGTGCCTATCAACCTGGAGGTCAGTGTTTGATTCCTTGTCAATGCACACATTTTTCTTTTAACAAATAAGGACTCATTAAAAAAATAAATAAAGCATTAAATATATGAATTATATTGATATTTTATTTTTATATATCACCATGTGTTCAATAAATACATGAAAATATGAATGAGCAAATGTGAATACTGTCAACAGTGGGAGTAAAAACAGTTCAACTGGTTTAATTTAATTCAAATTTAAGTACTGCATCCAAATGGGGAAATTCAAGACAAGCCTTTACAACAAGTCTTAAAACAAAATAGTATATATTACAATTAAAATTGAGAATAACAAAGCAATATTAAAAACACCACTGAAACCAAACTATAAGATCATATCTGATCACTATTAATAATATTTATTATTAATAATAACAATTTCAGACTGTTTGTATTTTGTTGAGGGTCATTTGTTACTGTTTTCACAACCTTTGCTTTCTTATTAAAATGCCTATTTTTGAGACAGGAGCCTTCAGGTATAAATAACTTTGCCAACAAATGACAGCCTAAACCTGCTATGGCATTGGCTATGGAGTTGAAGTCGATACGTACTTTGGTGCATTCGAGATAATTGCCCCATCTTTTCGCTGGCCTAAGGAGGTCTGGTCACTGCTATTGCAGTGTAGACTAGTGGGCAAAGCTCAGGAAGTTTGTTCTACACTTTCTCTAGAGGAAAGTTTGAATTATGACATCGTGAAAGGTGTGACATTGTGTTACGTCCCCGTGCATGTCTGTGTTTTTGTTTTGTTTGTTCCGCTTCCTATATTCAGATACCCCCTCCCCCATTGGTCCATCACTGTACCATCATTAAAGTTGTGACATCACCATCAATCAACTCCAGACCAATCAGCAACTAGAACGACAGTTTAAATAACGAAGATTTACGACCTCGAGAGTTTTTACAACTTTGGTTAGCTTTCGGCTTTGTCAGCTTTTTTCGGCTCAACTTCGTTTAGCTTTGGCATGTGTTTGCATTTGCTCGCCAGTGTTCGTGTTTGTTCGTTGTTAGTTTCAGCTTCGTTTGTTTGTTTTTATTACCTGTGTTTTGTTATTACCTTGCCCACACTTGTTACTCTCCTTTTTTAATCTTGCTTGTGCTCACTTGTTACCCTATTCCTTGTTTGTGTATTTTCTTCGGTATTACCCATTTTCCCATAATCGTGCAAGCGGTTCACTCATGTCATGTTATAGTTAATATGTGAATATGTGAATACGTGTATATGTGAACTTTTTGTACACCAGGGGGAAAAGGTATAGGTAAGATTATCAGGTTACACTGTGCACACGTAGGTGTGTTTTCTGTCTAGACACACTAGGTTAGGGGCATGTGCCACTTGTGTATTCTGGTTCTGGTTAAATCAGTGTAGGGAAGTTAGGGCGCTTTAAGATTCCAAAGACCTTTTATTTTTGTTTGTTTGGGTTAGTTAGGTTAGACCTCACTGTATTAGCTAGATCCATTTGGTTTTGTTATTTTCTTTCCTTTGGCACTGCTCAAGTTCCTTTTCCCTGTGTGTTATTGTATCCTGTATTCGTACCAGTCACTTATTCACTTTTTAAAAAATAAATCCCTTTTGCACCAAACTTTTGTTGTAACAGCCGCTTGTGAGAGAAAGGTGACTTTCTGCTCAATTACATGTGATCTACAGTACAGTCAGATAGATTTTAAATTCTTTAAGAAACATAAACTGTCAAATTCACCTACTTTATGCAGGACAGGACTTCAGTACACAACTTCTGAAAAGGTACCCTTTTCTCTCGTGCCAACTCAATAAAGGTTTGTTTTTCTGAATTTTCAAATTCAGAAACTTGGACGATATGCCTCAGGGACTTATTCATAGTATAAGCGAAATACCCCCCTGGGTCTAACCTCCCGCTGTCCCACACACTCGGATTCCATGAAGTCAGATCCACAGATACACCGAAACAGTAGCGCACATGGCAATGAAATGCAGTGAGTTCATATACTGTATATACTGTATGATACCGTATGGTTTCAAAGCCACTACAGTACAGTGTGTGTGAAATATTAATTTAAGGATCTTAATACAGTATATTTATACAGCTGGTAGTATTACTGTAGACCACGCTACCAGTCCAAATATTTTTCTTAATCAAAATTTTAAAATTAAATTTCGCGTTGCTGAAATTTGTATTAAGACAAAACAGATTTTCTTAATGCAGATGTAAACCTGAAAGAGGCACATCGTATTAGCAATAAGCTACAGTATAATAACAAACTATTTTTACACATCTGACTATGTAAAATATATAGCCAAAAGGATTGCTCTAAAGGTTAATTCCAAGAAGAAAAGACAAGACTCAACGTGTCTTCTCTATAACTCGTCCATGGTCATTCATTATTAATATTATTAATAATATATACCGTATTGCATTTAAATTTGAATATTTTTACAGCTATAAAAAGAGACAATGTGTCTCCTCTATAACTCTTCAGTTATAACCCGCAGAGCCACACAACATAGTTAACAGTTGTTGGCTCACTTAAAGGTGTAACATTGTCACTGTCACTGTCATGGTACAATTTCAAAATATTGATAAGCTGTTCAGTTACTGGTAATTGTAAAAATAACCCTTCTTTGTTTACTGTAAGTTAAAGAATTCTCTGAAGAAATCCTTAATCACAAAACCATCACTGAAAATAATTCATTCAGATACATACACTCATGCTGGAACCAATTTTGCCAGACTGGTGGCTGAAATTTGGATTAAGGCAAAATATTGATTTTCTCAATTCGGATGTAAACCTGAAAGAGGCACATCACATTCACAACAAGCTATCATAGTGGATTATTTTTGTATATTTGGCTATGTAATAACAAAGCAAAAGTAATTCTCTGATCGGGCTTTCAGAAATCGGACTAACCGCCTGGGTATAGCGCACTGCATTACACTGCCACTGCGCATTACCATTATAAGGACAACATTTTTTTGTCAAAATGTTTCCAAAACATCCACTTGTGATTTTTTAGCTGCTCAGTTACATGATTCCATATCAATATTACTATCAAGTGGTATTAAATCCGTACAACTTTTTTTTTAAATAACAGCAAGTGGTGTTCTTACAATGTATTGTTAGAAAAGGATAAAACGTTGTAACTTTTTATGATGTACAGTATACAAACTTTATAATGTTAGAACAAGGACGTTAAAACCAGAACCCACTGTACATTAAGTCACCAAAGACTTTGATGCATAAAATATTTATGAAGAAGGTATAGAATACTGTTGTGTACTTTTTATATTTAGCTACCACTACCATCTACTGTGTGTAGATTAGGTATGTATTACGTTAAACTACTGTTTTTATTTTCAGCTACCAAAATTTACTTTTTACTTATCTGTATGTGGATGTAAAGCTCAAAGAGGCACAAGCTACAGTATAATAACAGACTTTTTTTTATATAGTTCAGGTGGGTAGCTGCTTCAGCATGCGTAGGCTGCAAAGGAACAAGTAATAGGTTTATTCCATGCTGAAAAGAGAAGAAAGAAAACATAACGTTTTCGGCCGTGGAGCAGGTGTTGCTCCTATCCAACTAAGCAATCTTGCTTTTATAAAATATACCTACTTTTTTATTCGTTTAAAACAGTATACACGTTAAACTATGTAACTGGAAAAAGATTGTCCCTTAGCATTGACCAGGATTCGAAACCAGGCATTTTCTGGCGACAGCCCAAATGCTCCACACACCACATTAAGCTTTAACTGTTCCACCTGGTGGTTTTACAAAGTAGTGCAGCCCTATTTAAATAAAACTGCTGTACACTGCAGCTCCTGAACTGCTACTGATGCAGTATCTCCTGCGCATTTTGAATGGCTGGATCTGTAGGTATGTTACATAATCATTGCTTCCCCTCATCCAAAAGAAATATTGCAATACAAAATCAGGAGTAATACTTTCCAAAATTGCTTGGATTTTATTTAAAGGGTATAGCTTCCTTCTATCACTAATGATATTATAACTGATCACTGAAAATATTTTAATTCACTAATTTCAAATGACACCATGTAACAGTAGCAACATAACCAACACCACAACCACCACCACAAACAACAACAACAATAATAATAATAATAATAATAATAATAATAATAATAAACCTCCAGATTTTATAAAATTATTCAATGCTTCTAATAGCCCAATGTTAAATGTAACTAATACAAAAATACTCACCACGCTGACATTAAAAGCGTAGAGAAGATCAAAGGGTAGTGCAGCAATGAGATCAATGATGAACCACGTTGTGACATAGTGAATGCAAATCAGCCTTGCTTCAAATATAACTTGCCCAGATTTGCTGACGTATGTTGTACGAAAATTAAAAATTATATCTGTTGAACAGAAAACAAAGTTAGCAGGACGTGCCCAGTGTGGAGGCGGAGCCCAAAGTAGAAGGGCGACGTCTGGTCTTTGTAGTCCAAGCTGTCCTGGCTTGTAAATGATGAGCCACAGCTAGACAGGTCCTATAATAGCACACTGGACACCCCCCGACAGGACGAGCAAGGACACCCCTGGAAGGGGGGGTTTTACACCAACAGTCCTGGAGGGGATTGCACCTGCGTAAGGTGTTCTTTTTCTTTTTTTTCCGCCTGTACCACTGTGCTGTACCACTGGGGCAGGCTGTTCCTTTTCCACAACTTTTATTGTTGTTTTTGCCTTATGGGCCCCCTAAATAGGGTAACCAGTCACCCCTGTGCTAGTGGTCCTTTTTTTTCCCAGGCGGGACCTCGTTAAATATGGTGAGCCCAGCCTGGAGGTTACTAGGCACAGCGGTATACTGTTTATTTTTCCACTCTTTTTGTATTATTTTTGGTCCCCGCTTACCTCACACTGGTGCTTTCGTCCCCTCTCCCAGAGTGTTGACTTTTTACAGGTGCTCGCCGCAGTGCCTCACCCAGACATCAATTGAATCAATTCAATTTACAATTGAAGTGTTAGGTTCAGAATTTGCACTTTAAAAATGTATCGCTTACCTATTATAAAAAGAATTTCTACAGCAATATCACTGACAGTTGTGCTTCGCGTGAGATCATCATCACCAATAAAACAAACATTGTAAGGTACAGTCACAGCAACATAAAAGGTTGCCAGTAAAATTAGCCAGTCCCAGCCAGCTTTAAAGGTGCTGTAATGTAAAAGTATAAATTTGGATTTCTTGGCGTCTGCAACTTTGTACTCTGGAAGTGCTGGTGGATCTCCAAAAACATTCTGTTAAGACAAAATAAAAGTAAATAACAAGCAGACTTTCACTACACTATCAGAAAACATTTACTATAGGAGTACTTAAAATAAAAAACAACATTTTATACTGTATATATACTGTAAACATCCAAGAAATCAGATTTTGTATCATAATTTATTAATAATTCAAATATGATTATTATTTGATTTTGTGGTGATAATGATACATTGATTGCATCTGACACTCCATAGTGTTTTTTTAATACAAAATGATAAAGGCAGAGCAATAACACACTGCTATTGTTTTTTACAAAGTGTATTTTTACTTTAAATGTCTGTAAATGTTTTGTTGACACATTTTACTTTGGCAACAGTTTAATTTGTCATCCATGCCAATAAAACTCTTTACTTTTAAATTTAATTTGTCTTAAAATGTTCTCAAAGGTTTAAGGCAGAACTCTTGATAACTCTAGAGGCTACTTAGTAGTTAATGTAATGAGTGATGTGATGTAGTAGAAGAATCTTTTAATCTGATTTTGTTTTTTAGTAGGCAATGTAAAATGTATATGAAAGAGGTTCATTCATCACGAAAATCAAAGTGTACCTTGCGCTTTATACAGACATTTCATAAAGGGTTAAAGTTGAGAGATGGTGTGTCATACCAATATACTGTAAATTGTTAAAATATTAAATATTTTAGAGTTATTGAAATACTGTCCACAGGCCACAGATAAATGTGATTAAAAATCTTAAATTGTATGATGTTTTTCATGTATTACAAACAAGCATATTGTTACACATATTGTAAAGCCCTTTCAATACATCTTCCATGATTATCAATGATGAATGGGAAAATAGAAGTAAATGAAGCCTTGGTTAAAAACTAATTAATATACATTTGCTCGTGTAAAGGTTTTTCTGAATGATTTGTTTCCTGTTCATTACATACAAAAGAAATGGGATTTCTATTTCATTGAAAGAGAACTACCTACTATGGGCAGAACATTACTTATAAAAGAAATAAAAATACTGCTAATATTTTTTCTTTTGTACTGTACGTTAAAAAAACCTCATAGATCAGCTGTTTCTAATATTGCAAGTAACTTGTACAGATGATATAAACCCACTTTGTTGATTTTTATTTTGTTCTTCTTTTCTCTGCTGTGTAGATGTCCCGAGATCTGATAGAGCACTGTTCGACTTCGGATCCGTGCTGAACTGAAATGAGAGCCAGTTTTCACTCTCCCTTTGTGTTTCTCTGTTTTTTAAATGAACAAAAGAGAGTATTTGTTAACAATATTGAAAGAAACAATTACGGTATATTTAAAAATCATTAATTTAAAAAGAAAAGCAAAATAGAAAAAATGGAGTAGATGTACTACTTTCCCAAATGCAAACTTTTGTTTGCTCATGAATTTACTATATATTGATTTATCCAGGCACTGTAAAAATATAACTTTGGACAAAGGAAAATATATAATTTTGTAACAAAAGAATAATACATCTTAGTGTCTGTTAGTTCATAGAAAGTTGGAATAAAACCTTCGGCATTTGTTAAATGAGCCACTTAGTATTTTAATTAATATGAGAAGAGGCATCACAAAATCTCACTGGAACATATTTATCTTTTTCTATGCTCAGTCTGACCTTGTGGCCAGTATTCCATACATTGTTAATGCATAAAAATCTGGGCCAAGGAGCTGGTCACATACAGAAATCATCTATAAAGCTCAGACACACCAGGGAGAGAACAGAAGCGCAAAATCTATTTTTGGCACATAATGAATTTCCCTTCAACTAATATCCTGTGAGGTCAGTCATGAAAAGCTGTTCTAGGTGTATCCTCTTATAGGAAACTTCAAGCTTAAGCTTGACAATTATCTCTCTGTGAAAAATTTGCTTAGCCCACAAAACAACGTCTTTCTAATGTGAAAACTTAAAAATAGGAAAGTGTAACAACTGCTACAGTAAATTAATGGACTACAAATGCTGCTTGATTTATAATACTGTATCTGGTTCACCTCATACTTCTTTAAAACATTGGCAATCATATATATATATATTTTAATGGATATAAAATGTATTAAATAATAACAGATGTTTTTGAGAAAAAAAAATCAAAAATCTTAAACTCTTCACAGAAAACAAGATCTCTCCTGCTACCATGTCATCTGTGCTTTTCTTTCAGTTCTGCTGATGTCATCAACCATCCCTGCAACTCCAATGAACTGCAGCCATTTTGTTTCCCCCTTTTCCTTTCTTTCTCTCCTTTCTTAATTGCACCTGCTCCACTCTCCCTCCTACCACCATTCTCCCCATTTCTGGTTAAGACTCCTACTCTCTCTGCCCCACCTTATATGTGTTGTTTTGTTTCTCGCCTTTCCCCAGTCCTTCTTTACACTGTTCTTGCAGGAGCCCACTGGTTGCTGAACACCCACTCCGTCCCAGGGGTTTGAGTGCATGTGGTCAGTGTGTACTGGGTTTGGGCTTCCTTGTTTACAGCCCCTGCCTCACTTGTCCCATGGCCCCAGGTGTAACACCTATGGGTTCCCCTTGTCTCCGTTCCCCTTTACTCTTCGACTCTTCCCCTTCCCAAAGTTTGCAGTCTCATACATAGATGGTATTCTTGTTTTAGGGGTTCCAATTCTTATATGTCCTTATCAATTCTGTCTAGAAATGTTCTGCAAGTGGTAGCTCTCCTCCTATGTCTGTGCGCTTCTGCTCTTCTGGAATAGAAGGTTTGGTGCATCATCTTCTGTTGTCCTCCAAAGAGTTCCAATCTCAATCCAGCTGCTCCTGCTGGTGCTGCTACCTATTCACTGACCTGCTTTCTGTTACCTGAGTGCCTGTCATTCACTTTGTTCACCATTAGTATTGCTCCATATCCATATCTACTCATGTAAACAAGCTCAAGACTGACACTGCATATCCATATCTACTCGTTCAAACTCAGTCTCCAGTCTGCATCATACCTGCTTCTCATTTACTTAAGTCACCAATAGTGTTCCTCCAAAACTCTGCATATTTCCCTACGGGATTAATAAAGTATTATCTATCTATATCCTAACATACCCACTTAAACATGCTCAATCTTGCATCAATGCACCTCTCGTTCATTTCATTTAATTTATAGTCAGCAGCTATGTCACCCTGCAACTTACAACTGGTAATCCGTTAAAGCTAAGCCAGTATCTGGGAAAGCTAAGATTGCTGCTGGAAGACGTGTTAGTGTGGCCAGTGGGGGTTGCTATTCTGCATTCTGTGTGGGTCCTAATTCCCCAGTATAGGGATGGTGATACTACTGTATACTGTAAAAAAGGCTCCATCCCTCAGAAGAGA